GTTAGGCCCAGGTGTGGTAGAAATGATGATTTTAGGACAGAGTCCCACTCAGCTAGTTTATCATCTGTGCTTAACAGAGGCAGCAAGATCTCTCAATTCTTTTGCACTATTAAAAAAAAAATGTGTGCTTTCTGTCTCCTAAGAATTAGGGGGCTGGAGTCATGGGGTGCTGTTCATAGGATAATTAAAAGGAAACCCAGAGTAAATGACTGGATTTATATGTAAAATAAAAGACTGGGCTTATGATCTGTGAGAGATGAGCTATTCGGAGATCATTATTATTATTTTTTTTTTAAGAATAGAAAAAGAGAACTGCTTGGAGAACTCTCTCAAGCAGGGAATAGCAAGAGAAAGCTATCTAGAGAGAGTAGCTGTCCGGAGATCTCCAAAGAGAACAGAAATCAGAGAAAGTCTGGAAAGCTCTCTTGAGTCCGCCAGCTTGGACCCACGATTTAATTTGACTTGGAGTCCTTTGTTTTGCAGTTCCCAGACACCTCTTCTCTCAGAACCCCTCTCCAAGCTGGTCCTTGGCAGAAAGGTTGCTCGACGGATACAAAGTTACAGTTAGATAGGAAGTATAAGTTCTAGTGTTCTGTACAGTATAATTAACTATAATTAGTATAATTAACTATAATTTATTGTGTAATTTTGAAGTGCCTAGAATAGATTTTTTGATGTTCTTACCAAAAAGAAATGATACATATTTAAGGTGCTAGATATGCTAATTACCCTGATTTGGCCACTTCACAATGCACATATGTAATGAAGTACCACACTTCAGTACCTAAACAGCAATGAAAAATGTACAAGATGTATTTTCATACAGAAAGCTTCAAAATGCAAAACTACAGAAATTACTTAGACTGCAACCCCCTCCTCTCCCTGCATAGCCTGGGGCACTTTGAGATTTAGAAGCATCTCTGGCGCACATGCACACACACACACACACACACTCACAAAGATACTAATTAACTCAGATGTCCAGTGTGGCTATTCTCCGGGAACCCTCATTGTTAAAATTAACATATACATTTTTTTCTTCTCTTTTTTACTAAGACATGCATATTTTTTTTAAATGATGGAATTTGCCGGGCAGTGGTGGCACACGCCTTTAATCCCAGCACTTGGGAGGCAGAGGCAGGTGGATTTCTGAGTTTGAGGCCAGCCTGGTCTACAGAGTGAGTTCCAGGACAGCCAGGGCTACACAGAGAAACCTTGTCTTGAAAAACCAAAATAAATAAATAAATAAATAAATAAATAAATAAATAAGTAAATAATGGAATTTATGGGAAACATGTTAGTTACTATTACAAGAATCACTACAGAAACAGGAGAGTTGGGGCATGATTCCTGATGCCCACCCCCAATCCACTTCCACATATCACTGCTGTGTAGTCAGAATCCCCTCCCCTAATACATGCAGACACACTTACCCACATATACATGAAAAAGAAAGAGTGCTGAGACACTTTAATTAAAAGCCACAGGATGGTCCAAACCTTATCACATTAATGACAAAGGAGGAACAGATCACTTCCAGCTGAGGTAGTTTTGGAGACTCTAAGGATAAAGAACCATAATCTAAGAGGAAAAAGAAGAGGGCAGTAGCCCGATGGTGGTGGTGGTGGTGGTGGTGGTGGTGGTGGTGGTGGTGGTGGTGGT